TGGGCTGTCTGGACATCCTCCAAGGGCAGCATTCATGCTGCTGCTGTGAGCAGACATCCTCTTCCATCAAATGCAGCCAGGGCTCATAGAGCTCTTTTAAGCTTCTCCAGCCTTTTTACCCAGAAAGCACTCAGCAGATTCAGACTTTGGAAGTCATATTTCTACATTCTTTCAAAAGTATATTTCCTAATCTTAGACATCCTGATCTCTAAGCAGGAGTGATTTGGAAGAAGAAATTTTATGTGAAGGGGGAAAAAAAGCACATTTTCCTGGCAGGTTAGTTTTTAAAGACAACATGGCAGCTATGTGAGCCTGCTGAGGAGTATGGAGCAATAGTTTTTAAGATTGGGAAGGTGGTTTCCAGCACAGCTGATGCAGTCCTGGGCTTATCACAGAACCCGTTGTCACACAGACATGCAGTTCTCCAGGGTGTTGTCAGTACCACAAGTATGGCACAGCTGGTGCCGTGAATAGCACTACAGTTTACACTAACTATAAGTCTGGTGTAGCATGAATCTTGATATGCATGTGCATGTATGTGTCTACAGCATATATATGAAACGCACATGTTCTATTATTACCATTACAGTATGTAGATGTATATGTATTGAAGTATGCATGACTGTATATAATATGAAGTATGTCATTACTAACATTTATGAAATAGGTTTGAAAAGCTCTTTTGGGAGCTTTCTTAATGACAAATTTAACAAATTAACTGTACATGTGGAAAGTTTTCATACAGACTGTGTGAAGAATATAATGATTTAGTGCAGAAGCTGATTTACTAAAATGTGATGTATCAATCCCTTAGTGTTTTCCCCAAACAGCAAATGCAGTCAGGTTCTATATCAAGCTAAGTGCTCACCAGATTTTTCAGCTAGAGCTAAGTGCATAAAATCATTTGGTAACACTAGGCTTGTGGTTTTTAGTATTTTTTATGGTTCTAATCAGGCAAAGGGCTTTTACTCATAGATTTTATATTTTGTGAAAGAAGAAAAGAGGGTGGGTTAACCTTTCAATTTTGTGTTTCAGCTGGAAGTGAGTTTTTATAGCTAAGTTATAAAGCTTTAAAATATGCATCTGTAATGAAGGTGATGACATTCTTAAAGATTATAGCAGAAATACATCTACTGCACATTGAGGAACTGAGCTGACATATTTTACTATGTCTTCAATATTAAAATCAGGTTTACAATACTGTTTTGTGTAGTGACTAAGCCAAATATTTACCTACCCCTTTCTTTAAACATATTTAATGTATTATTCACAGTTACCTCTAGCAAACTTTTTGACTGCATGTTTCCTTTTCTGGTTAATTTCATGAGGTTTAGTCATGCTTTTAATGGCCTTCAGAAGGTCCCTTGGAGTTCTTTAGATAACAAACAAGAAACTATCCCTATGAAAACATCAGACACTAACATTTCCATTTCTCAGACCTTAACAGCAGGAAGCTTATGAGTCTAGCAGCCAGACAGGGTCAGGTTTGCAATATTGTCTTGTCCTCAGCGTTTGTATTTTTCAGGAAAAGACTGCAATTAATTGTGCTCCTGTGAAAATAGTTTATTGTGGTTTGTTTGCTGTAGCCTGCGCTATCTAAAGACTGAATATGGATAGAGAAAACTAAAATGTATTGAATGCAATTAAACTCAGCAACATTATCTTCAATTCAGCGTGCTGTATCATATATAATGGTACAGCAATTTATATACAACATGACTATACAGAGGTTTAAATGTATGTTTTCTTTGCAAGCCAGATAAGTTCACTTTCTTAACCTTAAAAATAAGCAGTATATCTTTTCAATAAATCTGCTAATACTACAGGGCAGCTGTTAAATAAACAGAGCTATAGAGGGTTGCTTGAACAATCCGTGAGGCAGAACTGGTGATTTGAGGATCTGGGAAGAATTTGTTTTCAGCTAACATTTAGTACATTCCTCATTGTATTAAAATGCAATAAAATATTTTAAATGCTATTATTCTGAGTCTAAAGCAAGATTAGATTATTTTATCACCTCTTGCTAAGTAATACCACTTTCAGTAACACTAGATTAATAAACTTAAATTACAAAATACCTTTACCCTTCTTAAATAGCAAGATAAGGACATATAGTTTGTTTAATTTGGGCAAATTTTCTATAAATTGCATGTCTTCTATGTTTCACAAAATGCATGCTACAAGGTGTTGATTATATTTGACCTTTACTTAATACACAATATATAGAGCATTGCTTAGAGAAAACAGCAGTTTTTATTTCCTTTCTTAAAATATCTCGCTATTGAATATTAACATTTCCTTTTATTCCAGCTCAGTTTGTAATCTAATAATGGCTAATTGTTATGTGCTAAACACTAGTTACTCTTTTATGCTTTATTAATAGAGGAGCATATTAAAGTAGCATTATCTTAAGCAAATCTATAGGCATTTATTTCTCAGAATAAGTTATTTTTGTTTGTTTGTTTTGTTTTTTAAAGTTACTTCTTGGGAAAGTAAGGCTTTTGCCATATACAGTACTAGTTTGCATGTCATTTAAATACTAAAAACTGTAGTACTGCTCGATCCATATCTGACTGCTAGGTTTCAATTGACAGCTGAGGATTTGTGACTGGACCATGAATCAAAACGGCAGGCATTTATACCCCAGTGCCAGTGAGGATACATTGGGAATTACTTGGCAAAGGTAACATTTTAATTATTTCCACCCCTACACCACCTCTAAAAAAGTTGCATTGAGCTACAGTATCTGTTTTAGCAGGCCTCCAGGGGACTATGTAAGAGCATTTGGTCAAAACACCTGTGTAACATTTCTCCCATACACATTCAGGTCATCTTTAGTGAAAGCTGAATTTAGAAATTACCTTAATTAAGCACCTGGAATGAAAATGCTGTGCTATCCAATGCAAAGGGTTTGTAAATTTAAGGGAATACTGATCTTAGGCTTTAAAAATGAAAATGTTGTTCGCAGAATTAAAGGTCGTGTTTTGGGGGGGCTTTCTGGTTAACATAAAGAAAATGGTGCTGTTGGAGGTATAGATGAGTATAATAATAAATGTCTGAGGTGGTGGTGGTTTTGGACAATGAATAACCATACTACTCATAGAGACTTTTCTGACTAATTGGATGGTGTAGCTTTAGGTCACTAACACACGTCCATGAAGGTAAGATATAAACCATCTTATTTCTCAACTAATTAACAGAATAATTAGGAATGATTTACACAAAAGAGAGTTTCTTTTCATATAGGAAAAAAACCCAAGCAGAATAAAATCTGTTAACCTTTGGTACCTTAAGAAATTACTCATTGTTATCTTTTACATCTCTTGGTATATAACGAATTATGGCAACAGTAGAGGTGTGTGTGTCTAAATAGGTGTGTAAATAAATCAGCATAATTGTGAAACATCAGTTTTTCGCCTCTTTCATGTGCGTTGTTATCTGCAACACTCACCACTTAATGGGGGTTGTATATGAAAAACCTGCAGGTTGGGAGCCTGTGAGATGAAGTATTAGCTATTCACTCTCAAAATAATTTTAAATACTTCTTGGACATTTGTGTGCACATGGAAGTATACGTACTTCTGAATAGTTTGTGTAAGTATGTGTGTGAGTGTGTAAATGTACTCTGTACAAAATGCCTTTTGATGCATTGTATTGTACTATGGATTGCTAGAAGGTTTTGGGTTTTTGAGAATCAGCTTGGAAGGGTAATTATAGAATTTGAAAATTAGTGCTGTTTACAAATATGAAGTTTAAATGCCTTGAATATTTTTCCTTTTTGCAATTTTTCTGAAATAATATTTAAAATCTGGAAGAATTGCGGTGGAAAATCAAGGTCTTGTCATTTCTTCCCTTATTGATTAAATGGCACAATGGAAAATTAGCTAATGGATTCACCTCATCTCCTGAAGGGCTGTGATTCACATTATAAATCCCCATCATGCAGTAATTGCCACAGTTTTCAATGTACTGCCAAGAGTGAATCCAAACTGAGCTAGTGTAGCACAGAGGGGGTGATTTATTTTCCCACTACAAAGGATGTTGCTTTTTCAAGGCATTGACAGGTGCTAGGAAATTATATCACAACAGCCTATCTAGGAATAACCTTGAGTGGTTTTAATCAGTCATCACTCATACCCCCTTTAAAGCAATGCTCGTTTATACCGGCTGAAGCACTGTCCCAGCGTTTGCTGAATTCTGTTTTTCAGTACCCCTCACACAACACCCTTGGTCATAAATTATGAAAAGAAAGGAAAGGGGAGGAAAAATACTTCTAGGCGATGACCAAGGAAACTTTGGTGATGAATACAAGCACACTCCATGATCCGCTCACCTTTATAGACAAAACTGCTTTGCAGGTCACTCCCAGAGTGCTGCCTGCTGCTTTGACCCTACCAAGATACAAAAGTGCTTCCAGATGAGCCTGGGCACAAATTCTGCCATGGGCATCTCTTTTCAGGTCTAGGCTACGCTTACTTGGCTCTGAATTAAGCACAGCCTTGGAGGACAAAGAAACAAACTATTGGTTTTCCCTAAGTAGATTACTTTTAGGATTTGGGTTTTGGAATACGACATTCTTCAAATGCCATGTAGGTGAGGATCTAAGAAGAAAAACGATACTTGTGCAGGCTAAGGAGCAGTGAGCCCTTCTAACACAAAAACTAACGCTAAAAAAAACCAAGAACGTATTGCAAAAGGAATTGTTGGCAAAGAAATATGTTCTAGTCCAGACAGTCAAATTTTCCTCCACAAAATGGTTTGATGAATGTTTGATTGTGTGATTTCCTCAAATCTGCAGTGCTTATTTTGATGGTACTTGTTCTGACCTTTTACAGCAGGCTTTTGTGGTTATTTTAAGTATCCTAATTTTTCAGAAATATCATTGACCTCAAGAAGGTAAAAAAGTTGGCAGTGCCTCAGTGTTAGCTGTCCTGTCTCTACAGAAATCAGGTAGCTGAGTGGCCAAGCTGAAAGCTTTGTCATGGAGCATTGTTGGTGAACCACACCTTGGAAACCTGGGGAGAGTGAACGATGATAAAACCTCTGTTATTTCTGTGTTCTTTGTCTTATTAGTAGCTGCCTGCTGTGTCTCTTAGTAGATATGATGCATACTTTCAAATTATGATACAGAGATTTCAAAATATATTTTCAGGGTTTTTCTTTCCTTATAAAATTATGTATCTGTTAGCATTTAAAGTCTCATATATAAGACAGTAGTGGTCCATATGCAAAAGACTGAACTTCGGGGGAAAAAAAAAAAGAGAATATGAATAATACAAGACAAAAAAAACCCCTAAACCACAAAACTTTAAGTCATTGATGCACCATTTTCTTCAAAACCAGAAGACTTGCAAGGAATAGTGATAATAAAAACTAGATTAATACTTTGCTTGCTGAATTAAACATTCTAGTATTTTTAAAGGAAATACTTAAATAAAACATACTGTGAGCATCCTAAAAAAATGGGAAAAAAAGCCAGCTATTTAATGAGATATTTGGAAGTAGTACTTTTTATTTTGCTCCTGATACCCTAACCATCTACATTTTTTTTGTTGTTGTTGCTTACTTACAGCATTTATGGTATATATTTTATTATGTATACTGAACTTTGAATTAAGTTCTCAAGTACTTTTAAGATCATTTAGGTGAGTTTTTTGATGTACATATGAAGAAGATACTCAGAATCCATTAAAAAAAGAACACCTTCTTGTTTCATAACCACAGTTCTGTGATAATAACTGTTTTTCCTAGAGACAGAAGGTGAGGGGAGTCTGTGAAAATCTGTAAGGCTCCATTAGGAAAATACAGTCTCAGTCACTACATGAGATCAAGAGCATATGCAACAAGTAAACTTAAGACATGAGTGAGAGTGAGAAAAAGTGTGTGTGTAAGTCTGATAACATGAGCTTGAGCCTGAATCTCAGCCACTCATTACGGCTTTGATATCAAATCCAGAGGGACCACTCATAAAAGCCAGTATGATGGGTCTCTTTTGGAGCATATTGAGTATTTGCAAGTCTTTGACAGACTGTAAGCAAATTTTCATTGCCAAAGCGTACATTTTAACTCAGCCATTGCCAAATATATTTTTATTCCCAACTATTGTTGCTTATAATAATCTTTCTGTGTTAGTTTTACGGGTTAACTGTTACTTTAACATTACGTTTACACCACCCAGGCAAATGCACTAGGTTAGCATTTCCTGTTTTTGGTCTGTTATCTGGACACATAAGCACAGTACAACAGCTGGTTTGTTCCTGGAGATGCTGAGGGGAGCTCTGTTCTCAGAGTGCTGAATTTCCTTCTCAGCTCTAGCGGTAGGGGTGTTCGGCTTTCCAAGCATCATTTTCCGCTCCCCCCAGCACCACTCTGGGTTTATGATAATAATGCTGATAAGGCAATCAAATGGGATAATCTCTGTTTTGTGAAAGAGGTAGGAGGGGAATTAAGAAGCAGATTACTTTTGTAGCACAGTATCTTGTGTGTGTTTGGTATCGAGCAAAGACATAGCTAAAGTAACAGTCAGCAGCATTGCAGTGGCAAGCACATTTTGGCAAATGCAGACACCTGTTAGAGCAATGGTTCACACCCTCTGCCCCCTCCCCGCCTGCCCCCCACCCCAGTCCCCCTGGGCAATGTTTTGGAATAGAAGTATCAATTAATTACAAATTCAGAACAAAAATGCTGAAGTATCCTGATTGTGAAAGTATTCGTAGAAAGAAAACGTAATGATTTCTGGTCTTTATCAATTTAAATTGCTAACTCTAATAGTTTTGCCCAACTCTGTAATGCAGAAAGATGTGCAGAACATTATGTTTCCTCTCCATCTAGGCAAACATCTTCAGAACACTTCCTAAGAAATTAATTGTATTCAAGCCAGACTTGCATGCTGCCATCCCACAGGAAATGGGTCAGCAATCCATTAAGATGCCATTAGATAATCTAATTTGGAACTTAATCTCTAAATTAACCATGCTCCATACTTGAAGCATACTTGAGAGAAAGAAAAAAGTTTATGTTTGAATCGATAGGGGAGCCGAAGCGTGAAGAAGGCTGTTTGTTTTTTCTGTAGCTGTGGTCACGTCTCAAGCCGTCTGGTAACCAGGAGAAACCAGACATGATGTAATTCCAGATTGAACTTGAACTTCAGAGACTTAGAATGGGGGAACAATGGACCATAGGAATCAATAATGTCCATTTTACACATGATTATGTTTGGAGCTTTAAGTTAACCTTTATGGGAGAAGCAGCAAGAACTGCAGTGTGACCAAAATGAATGAGATGATCCAGAAGCAAGATGTTAAAGCAAAGAAAACAGCTTCAGTAATATTTTCTGAGCAGCGCTGCAGATTCCAGCAGGATTAGAAAAGTTCCCGCTCTGCAGTGAACTGGTTGCCTGTTCTGAGCACTCTTTGTTCACTTAGGTAGGACAAACTTAATCTTATGTTTCCCGTCAGATGATTCTTGGCAGCACTGCTAGGGAAGGAGGAGCATAATATAGAGAATTCCCAAGTGTAAACTGTATCTTTAACCCCTTGGTTTCTCCATTTTTCTACTTCTTGATCATCTTATCTCCATTCTTTTCTTTTGAAGCGGTAAAATTACACCTTGTTTGTTTGTTTGGGGTTTTTTTTTGGTGCAGTTAGGACCTGCATTATTATTTAGCCATGCTAGTTAGAGAAA